GGTACACATAATTGTCACACTCTGTTAATTTTTTGTCAAGCTGTAAATATATCAAGGATCAAAGGTCTTCAACAAAGTGTTCTTCCAGCATCCTGCAGGCAGCACAAAAAGTGAAATTTCACATAATGAAAGTGCTCCCAACTCCCTGCACCTGAAACCTCTGAGCCTGGCATTTCAGTTTCAGTTTCTGTGGGAAGTTCAGACTCACTGGTCATGTGCTACGTGCCGGGTCATAAAAATGGAGAGGAGACAACAGCACAGGCCAGTGGGGATGGACGGGGCTCTTGGTTGAGGCTCTCCAGGGACATCTTGTAGCCTGCTCCTACCATCCAATTCCCAGCTCCAGGGTGCTCTACAGGCATCCACGCCTGACCTCAGTGCCCAGTGGAGGAGCCTCAGGCCCAGCCTGGATGACAAGAGCTGCTCTGGCCTCTGAAGGGGCCCAGCCCTGCATGGCCCTTGGCTCAGCCTCATCTCCAGACAGCTCTGGGATCCTGGCAGCAACTGTCCCTTGTTCCCTCCTTCTCTCTTTGAGGATGCTTTGTCCTGTCTTGGGGACCCCGGAGACTCCCACCTGCCTCTCTCACAGGGAAACTTAGATCCAGGGTCCAAGTGCAGGACACAGATGGTTACAGTGATGGCAGCCAGCACACGTTGTCACCTTCTTTGACCCTGACAGTATTGGGAGTGGCTGAAGATAGATGTGTGATGGCAGGACAAGGCCACAGTGCCCAAAGCAGCCCAGCTGCCTCAGTCCTGAGAAGAGCATCCTGCCTGGATGCTTTCAGCCATTAGTCACTAGGCAGACTTGTGTCTCATGATCCTAGCTTTGGAAGAGTATGACTCCCCGAGTGATGCTTATTGGGTCCTTTGCCCACCAGGTCAATAGGCCTCTACCGGACGCAGCTCCTGTCGGCCTTTTCCTCAGTCCTGCCACTCTTTCTCCCCGGAGTACACTGAGAAACCAACACTGAGAAAATGCTTTCCAGGAAGCATTTTTCTGCATGTTTGTGCACTTTCACTGATCACGTTTGTGGCTGGGAGGAGAGACTGAGAGGAGGGGCAGAGCTCCAGTGTCCCCTGAGGAGCCCTGAAGCCCACTTCCTCCAACGGCCTCACCTCCTAAAGCTACAGCACTCCCCAAGGCCAGCGGGGTCCGACCGGGCTCTGGTGCATGCCCTTGGAGGGAAATCTGTATCCAAATCACAACACTCCCGTGATCACCAACAACAAGTGAGAGCATGCTCCTCACCCATATTTCACACTGGAAAACTCAGTTCTGCATACAGCAGGACCACGGTGAGGACCAGGCTGCCAGCCCTGGGCTCCCTGCGGTTAAAAGCAGGGTATTTTCTGAATGCTGCCGATACTGTGCACTCGGGGGCTGGTGAGGAGCCGTGAAACCTTCCTGCCCGGTGCTCAGGAAGCGGGCAAGTGAGTATCCTGCACTCTAACACCAAAGGCAGAGCTTCCGGGAACAGGCTTCCTGGGTAGTGTCGGGGCAAAGAGCCCCAGTGAGGCAGCCCCGGTGCTCCAGTGCAGCCTACTTCTCTGCACATGTTCTCACCCAGCAGGGTGTTGGCTGCAAGGAGCGCTTGTCCTGGTTCTGCAGTGAGTGCCTGCGCCTGCAGACAGCCTCCGCCCTGCTGCCTGGTGTACGCTTCTCCTCCGGGTCTTCCGCATCAGGGAGCGAGACAGCCTCATACATGCCCTCTTCCTTCCCACTAACTTCCCTCAGTACTGGATGCCCACCAGGAAGAGGCTGAGGACAAGAAATGGGTCATTTTCCCAGTGCTCATGTTGCGAGGGAGCCAGGCTCCAGCAGCACACTTGGCATGGGCACCCGCTCCTCACATATGGCTCTTGGTGGGCCTGGCCCCTGCCACCTGCTGTGATAGATTCCTCCAAGATCTAGCTCCACTTCCTGCTCAAACCACTGAAGCCTCGTGGCTCAAGCCTCTGACTCTGAGAGGACCTCCTCCAGGGAAGGGCTGCTTGGGAATCCCACTGGCCACAACTTCCCCTTCTGCCTCAGAACACAAGACACTACCATGCACATCTGGAAATGAGGACTGTCACCTTCTCCTGACTTCTGGGTCTCAACAGCAGCCCTGTAGCCTGGTGACCAGCGGACCTGGCACGGAGCCTTCATCAGACCCACAGGAGCCAACAATCAGGACTTCAGCAGGAAGTAAGCTCTTTGCACAGGATGCTGCCAGATAGTGACAGGAAGAGAGGGAGCACAGGGACCTCGGTACAGAGGCAGCAGCTCTTCTCAGGGGACCGCAAGGTTCACGTGACCCTCACCAAACACCTCAAAGTGCAACCAGCTCCTGGTCTCCCCAATAGAGGGAAACTGAGGGACAGAGATGTGGGTGAGTGTTGAAGAAAAACGTTGTTTAGAATTAATGAGGAGGAAAGACTTTACTCAAGGGAGGCCTGGAAGACAAGCCTGGGAGTGAAGGGCAGCCATGAGCCAGCTCCATTCCTGCATGGTGGCTGGGGGTTACAGCTCTAGAGCAGGGCAGGGGCAGTGGTGGTGAGGTGCTAATGGCAAACTCAGGACAGAAGGAGCTCCAGAGAACGAAAAGTTCCTCACTCAAGTCCTGGAGCTTGGGGAAACTGGCTCAGCAAGACCCTTGCTGAAGCAGGTCAGTGGGGAGACAAATGGTAGAGTAGCCCAGTAGACTGTGGCAGAGGAGGGCATCCCTGTCAGCAGCAGGGAATCCTCCCCAGGGAGAGGCTGACAGGAAGGTGGTCTTTCCCTCCCAGGAGCATTTGTATTGGGGTGTAGAGGAAATGCTTCTTGTTCCAAGCAAAGCTGTTTCCTTCGGGGCATTCCTCAGGCAGAGCGTGTGTCAGCAAGGCACGACTTAAAGACAGCGAGTTCCCTGACACTTCTCGCTCAACACTGTGCCTCAGGCCAGGGAGATAGCTCAGTAGAATAAGCGCTGGCCTAGCAAGCGCAAGATCCTGAGTTCAATCCCCGGTACTGCAAAAACAAAACAAAAAACCACTGTACCTCTTCTCTTCCTTCCTTCCTCCATCATGGTTTTCTGAGGTGAGGCCTTGGCAGCTTTGGATGTAACCGTATCCCGACGTAGCCCATAGCTACTTCCTGTACCACGGAGGGTGTGCTGAGGACCACCCCAGAGGTGGGGATTGGGCACGGAGTTGGGCAGTGCTGGTTACCATGGCTCTCCTCCACAGCAGAGGAGCGGGGCCCGCTGCGCTGCTCCAGCCGTGACAGGACTGACGGGCTACAGCTTCTCACTGTGTTTCCGCTTTGCGCGGCCTGACCCATTCTGTGCCAGATACAGAATCGCATCTCAGCAGTGTGCGTGTGGGGATAGCACAGCCGTGACGTGGATACTGAGCCAGGACTCAGACTTCTGGAATGTCTGAACATGCGGGGAGTGTGGGGGCGCTAAGTAATCTCAAAGGCAGGGAGCCCAGGATTTCCAAGCGGGCGGCAAAAGCCACTCTCTTTGACTGAAGCATTGGTGATGTGTTTTTAGAAAAAACATTGGAAATCATGTAGCAAATCGTTGCTGTGTTTGTAGGGCGTGGGCAAGGGTACGCAGTGTCGTTCATTGTGGGAGGGGATACTGGGTGCCCCACCTTCAGCCGCTGGTGGCTTCCCAGCGAACCACCCCGGGGGCTTGGCCGCTCCTCTGAGATCTGCACACTGTGGCTCTGCATTCCCTCAAGCTCTTTGCCCACTTTGTCCAATCAAGAACCTACAGAGCAAGAATCTACTTCCTACCAGCTTTCCGGGCCTTTGTAGAAACTCCAGGCAGGTCTGCAGCCTCTGCACGCTCGGTGGACCTGTCCCTGCCCCAAACGCACCCGGCACACCCCTCTCCCTGCTTTTCCCTTCGGGCCTCTCACCTTCTCCCTCAAAGCTTGGTTCACTGGTGCTGGGGGATTGAACCGCGGTCCCTGTGCTTTGCTAAGCTTGTTCTAAGTAGGTGCTTTAGACCACTGAGCCACCTCACCAGCCCCTCTCCTGCGCTTTTAGAGTGTGGTCAATCACCTAATGCTTGGGGGAGGGTTGAGTGAAGTTAGGAAGCCTTCGAATGCAACCACTCCCATTTCAAACAAGGAGCCTGACCAGAGTTTAGGCTCTAACTCTAGCATTAGGAGAAGGAAACGTGGCAGAGGATTCCAGCCTATCTCCTGGAGAGGGAAAGCGGGTCCTGGCTCTGGGGGGCAAGAGGAAGCAGGGATGGGGTCAGAGAGAAGACACGCCAGGGTCTGCAAGGGAGCGCTGAGCACGGCTTCCTCATGGCACCTCCTAAGCCCACAGAATTCAGGGAGCGAGTCTGGGCCCTGCAGATTACGAAACGAAGCCCAGAGCTGTGGAAAGCACAAGGCTTCCTACTCCACCCAGAGGCTGAGAACCAGGTGTTAGCTCAGCACATCTCAGAAAGATTATTGCACTTGAATTCCTGCCAAGACCTTGCCTATCTGCAGTTCTTTAATTGCTGGGCTGACCAATGGTCCTATAAAGGGAGTGAGAGCGAGGGCCGAGGGAGCCGACCTCCCTGTGCTCTTCAGGTGAGAGCACGCTCCTCCCGGCCAGCTCAGAGCCTAGGCTTTCTGAAGACCAGGTGTACCGGGCACGGGCGCATGTGCTGCGGGGTGCGGGGTGGCTGCTGTGAGGGGACACTGGATCTGAGAAGTCCATGCCCTCAGCCAGGAAGCTGCTTGTCTCTGAGGCAGGTGGCCCAAGCCTCTCTACACAGACAGGCCCCACAGGCTCTGCGCCACGGAAGAGCATTTCTGTACCTTGCCTGTCATACCACCTTAGCTTGTGGAGCTCCAACACCTTCCACACCATGCAGGAAACGTCCCTGGCACAGAAAACCTTCCTGGGGAAGAAAACTCTTTTCCTCTGAGGATTGCCAATTGTCTCTTGCCAATTGTCTCTTGAAGGTGTGTAGGCATCAATGAGTGGAACCACGGACTGTCACCTGTGTTGCTAGGTGAGACCCTCCGCCACCACCGGGGCCTTCGTGGTGTGTCTTCGCTGTCATCATGCTCCCCCCCTCCACCTTGAAGACCCTCTTCACCATCTGCATCTTCACTGCCTTCCAGCTCACCACTGTGGGTAAGAATACACAACGCACCCTTCCAAGGACGGGAAGATCAGGGAAGGGCAAGGTGGGCAGTGAGGTCCCTTTGGGCAACACTGTTGACCAGGGGCCTCCAGGGCTCCAGCTGGCCTCTGGGGGTGGCTCTGTGGCCCCCTGATTGCTCAGAATCTAGTTTTCTGTTACACATGTCCACTACCATGTTCTGGAGTGTGCATTCCTGAGCTTGCCTATTGTGTCTTGCTTGTCTCCCCTCAGAGTGCTATGAATGTACGAGCTGCTCCATAGGAGAATGCGTCTTCAACCCATCCACCTGTAAAACTTCCAAAGCCTGCTTCAGCCGCAGGCAGGAACTTACAACCTCAGGTAAGCCACACCTTCTGCCCACCTGTGCTGCCAGGTCCCCCCGGGCAAACGGAGGAGGCATGGAGAGTGGCGGGCCCGCCTGGCTCACGAACATGAGCATCTGTTCCCACTGCAGTCTTTCCTTTATCCTCCAATTCGTCCACAGTGTCCTAGTAGCAGAGCTGGAATGGGGCCAATACAGACTCTCTGGGGACAGGGACGGGTAGTTCTGGTCCTACCTCACCTCCTGCATTCAGCTGGCAAGATTCCCCTTCTTTGTGTGTGTAGTCCCAGCCTCAGTCAGGCCCAGGAAGGCCCCCCACTTCTCTGGGGGTCTTCCACAAGCTCCTTCTCTGTGGTTTACCCTGGAAAAGGGACCTGTGCAGTATTCTTTGGACATGTGGGAAAGTCAAAGGCCAAGGGAATAAAGGCCCGACTCCCAAATTCCAGCTGCCTGTTGCGGCTTCAGTCTCCCTGAGGCTCAAGAGGGACATTCTCTTCGGGGTTTGGTTCTCTTCAGGGGTGCTCTCTGGCTTGGCCCAGGAGAAAGGCTGTTCTTCAGGAAGCTGTACTCCACTGGCCTTCTCGGCGACCCTGGGGGAAAAGTACGCTTTCAGCTACGACCACCGATGCTGCCAAAGCAAGCAGTGTAACAAGGAGGACATCGCCTGTGAGTGCCCTGCCTCAGCGTGCTCCCCAGTCCCGGGCTTGGCTTCTGCCGTGTCCCTGACTGTCTCTGCTTCCAGACAGCAGGCACTCTGCTTGCAGACCCCTCTCCTCCGCAGGCCTCCCCATGGGGGGCAGCTTGGGTGTGAGCCCCAGCCCCTGGGTGCCACGGGCTGAGCCTGGGAGTTTTCTCCAAGTTGTTAAGCCCATAGGTTTGAACCCTTTGCTGTGCCGTTCCTTTGAGGGACATCCTCCCGTCTTTAATTCCCCGTTCTTTCAGCAGCATCTTTAGACCACAGATTATTTTCTTTCCCATTATCCAGCTGCTATTTTTCTGCAGCCAGGGCACAGAGAGGTGACTGGAGAAAAGAAAGATACCACTGGATTCCTATGAGATCCTTTTGTTTTAATCATTTTTCCCCACCTAGTAGCCTTTATCCACACCAGGCTAGTTGTGCTTTTTCTGAGGGATCCTGCGATAACTGTGCTATTAGGGAACAATTGTACTGTCGGCAATTTATTATTCTATTCCTCAACATGAAACTTTCTTCTCCATTCAGTGTCCCGGGATTCAAAACCCAATGGCATTGAATGCCCTGCTTGCTTCACTGACGATGACCCGATCTGTGACCCAGACCCCTTGAAGTGCAGAGGGGCAGAAACCAAGTGTGTGGTGGTGACCGGCAAAGGTGTGGTCTCTCCCATGCACTGCTGTGCTCGCTCTGGGGGTTGAGCTCATGAGCACCACCCTCCCCCGCTGCAGGCAGAGATCTGGGCAGGGCAGGGCAGGGCAGGGCGGTTCTTGTGCCCCATGGGCATGTGGCAGCAGGTGCTGGGGCTGCTCAGGGAGAAGCTGCCTCCCGCTGGCTTCTGGCTTCTGGCGGGCTCGGGGGCCTCTGGGTGGGGGCCTCTCCACAGGATGCCGGCATCCTCAGGGCATATCAGCTGGCTTGCCACAGAGTGAGGAGGCCCGTGCAAGACGGAGCGCTCAGTAGTTTAACCTCAGAAGTGGTATGTCATCATTTTTGCTTCTCCTGTTGGTCCCAGAGGCCAACCTGAGACCTCCTTGATGCAGAATGGGGGCCAGTTGCCCAGGGCACCATTGTGAGGAGCTGGGAACTGTTGGGGACCTCTTGCAGGCTGGTATTTGCATGTGGAAAGGGTGCTACTCAGTCAGTGCTTCGCTGTCCCTCCAAAGTTTGGACAAAGTCATTGCAGGTGAAAGGAGAGAAAGGAGGAGAAAAGAAGAGGATAAGTACCTGATGGGACAGCGGTTTGACGGCAGTAAAGGCAAACTGTACTTTTAACATTACCAAGAAAGAGTTACTTGTCATAGTAATAGATCAGTGAAACAATGCAAAGGTGATATATTTCATATAAACTGTATAGTCATAGTTTGGTCACTAGTAAATAAGGAAATGCCAAAGACCTATGATGGTTCAACCGTATGATTAAAATTGTTATCCTGTCCTTTTGCTAATAGTAAGAACGAATTATCAAATGTTTTAACTTTATACTTAATTATGCTTTTTTAAAAAAAGAGAAAAAAAAGATTTTGAAGGAGAATTTGAGACCAGCAGGACAATGGTCCTTTGTCTAGCTGAGTGGACGTGAATAAGCAAATGGGATGCCACGTAGGACACCACAGAGGGCTGGAGCTGTCCCTGTGGGACATCGATCTGCCCCCGTCTGCCCCAGAAGTGCAGACACACTGCACATGTTTTCACCATGGTGTTCTCCTAAAAACTCAGACCTCCCAGCAAGAAAGTGTCTTGCCTTCCAGGAGCACCCCAATACTCCCTCTGGCTTCTCCAGGGAGGCAAAGGGACAGGAGAGGATGAGAGAGGATGGGAGAGGACAGGAGGGGATGGGAGAGGACGGGAGAGGACGGGGGGGAACGGGGGGCACAGAGGAGGACAGGGGAGGACAGAAGAGGACGGGAGAGGATGGGAGAGGACAGGAGAGGACAGGAGGGGACGGGAGAGGACAGGAGAGGAC